ATACATGTCCATTCCCTACCATCATTTAAAATTTTAAATAAACAAATACCAACTTCATGTCGACGTTCCAAACGATAACCAATTGCTATTTGGTCATTTGAAACAACAGTTAAATCACTTATTTCTCCAACTAATGGTCCAGCTCCTCGATTCATTCTTGGTGGCATCAAATCACGAAATTTTTTACAAACTTGTTCTTCTTTATCATAATTCATAAGAACAATTTCATCACCATAAAAAGTTGTTGCATTAGGAGCAACAACTAAATAAATATGAGTATCACTACATGATAAGCGTTTCATAGTACGATCAATAAATGTTTGAAATTCAATAAGATCATTTGTATTTTCTTTCAATAAACGTAAACGTGCACGATTAAGTATTAAATAACCTGAAAGTTTATTTGAATATGTAATATCTTGAATCCATTCATCATCATCAGAACCAAATGTAGTATCAGATTGATCCCAATCAATATCATGTTTTGTATTCAGATCATATATATTAGGTATAAAAGTTAAACGAGAACTTCGAGTCATACGATCATAATCATTATAAATTAATTGATTATTATGACAACAAATAGTACCAGCATATTTATCATTATTTACAGGTATTAATATTGGATTAACACGTTGGATTTTACGTGTTTGACCAGCATCAAATTCATCATGATTTGTTGAATCATTTGAATGAGTTTCATTTGTTAAATCATTTATATGAACTCCATTTGGTAATCCATTTGTATGAATTGTATTTGGCAATCCATTTGTATGAACTTCATCTCGTAAGTCACTTGTATGAACTTCATCTCGCAAGTCATTTGTATGAACTTCATCTCGTAAATCATTTGTATAAACTTCATTTCGTAAACCATTTGTAAGAGCTGAACTTGGTAATTCATTTGTACGAGTTACATTGAATAATTCATGTGTATGATTTCTATTTGTTAATTCAATTGTATGGGTTTCATTTGTTAATTGATTTGTTAATTCTGGTGATCTCAATCTATTTGTATCAGATATTATTGGATCACTTGGTACAAATTGTTGTGGTTCAATATCAATTCTTCTTAATTCTTGATTATTTGTATTTGATGATGATGTTGATGGATTTAATTTCATTTGAAGTGATGCATCTAAACTAGCATCATCTGGAATAGTGGCTGGTGAATTATGATAATTATCAGTTATATGTTGAAGTTGTTGATGAAGTCCAATAAGATCATTTAAAGTTCCATGAGTTGGCTGATGTAATAAAGAACATATTCTATCAAATTTTTCTTGAATTGATACAACATCTTTGAAAACATTTTTGTTTTGTTCAAAGTTATGGAGAGCTTGTTCTGCTATATCATTGACATCTTGCATAAGTCGGCGTTTCTATAAAAATAATTGTATAGAAATCAGATATTCTTCTTCTCTCTTTAATACAATGTAAACTTTGAGAAGAACTATCTTTTGATCATTGGCAAACAATGCACTTATCTCAAAAGTTAAATAATAAAAATAATTATTTCATCTACTCAAAGTGATCACATGAATCCAGAACACTTATAAAGAAGGGTATGAGTTTTGTCTTAATTTACTTAGATCCTCTCTGTTTTTACAATTTAGTATAATTGTTTTATAATGTCATTTATTTTTTATAAATGTATGATATTTATTTCTTATACTACTGTTATTGTATTAATAATAAAATAGTTGATCAAACGAATGTTTTGTTTTTTGTTTTGGTGATCAAAAATCTTCATACCCTAAACTTTACGTTCTTTCTCACATATTCAATTTCATTTGTTCTTTTTTTTTGAGAATAAAAATAAATTGAATAAAAAAGACATGTCAGTTTTATGTTTTCAATAAAATATGAAAGACTTTTTTCAAAGTCAAGATTAGATACTCATACTTCATAATGAGTTTCAAAAAAAACTAGAACAATTTCACATCAAATTAATACAAACCCAATTATCTATGATTGTTCGAGCTTCATTAGCATTGTCATTCTCTTGCTCTTTGTTCTGTAAGACATTAACTTCGAGTAATTTGTCAGAAACTATTTGATAATTATCTTGTATTTCAGAACCAATTTGTTCAATATGTTGATGAATACAATTAAAGTCAAATTTATCACCACATGTACATATTAAATCATAAGGTCGATCTTCACAACCAGTACAAAAACTCATTGTAGATGCAGTCAATCTATAATAAAAATTCACGGAAAATTTCAAGTAGTATTGTTTTTTTACTATATTAAATAATACGAATGAAAATCAGAAAGAAAAATAAAAAGAATGAATAAAGCTATGCAGACGCAATATACTGAGCAAACAATGCTTTATATTCAGTGTTATTTTTTAGTTGGAAGAAAAGAAAAAGCAACAAAAAAAAAACAAGAATGTGTTGTTGAGTCTTTCATAAAGATCAACAATCGACGAAAATAAAATGCACATTATTATTGTAAACTTACTTGAAATATTTTTGAAAAATCAATCGTCAATACTAATATAGAAAAATGTATTTTATATAAAACTGAAACTAATTATATTTAGAGAAATTTTCTTTTTATATATAAATTTGATTTCAAATTAACAAAAAAAAACAAACCAAAAGGAATTTTTCAACGTTAAATTTATTCTGATTTTGAACGAGCCTGTTTTATTTGAATAAAATTACCAAGTAGGACAGTAAAATGTTTTTTAGGAGGCTTATATGTACTTTGTTTTTTTTTGCGTTCTGTTTACTCGGCAAGATAATACATTTTTTAATTACTTGGAAAAAACCAAAATATTTTTTTGACGCACATGAGTCACATTGATCATAATCATCAGACCTCACTACGTATCGCTACATTAAAAGAAAAAAAAAACTAACTAGGAAGTAAGGTTATACTATTGATTGAAGCGACCAATGCTGTGTGAACATGTGGAATAGATGAAATATTAGAGATAATTTCAGTTTTTTTAAGCGTTAATATAATGAAATATATAAAAACTAACAAATTCAATTCAAGATGAAAACAAATTATAAAACCAAACAAGTAATTATTGAATATATAGGAGATAAATTGCTTACTTGATGATAAAATATAAGTGATAAGAATATTTAAGACAGTAAAGTATCTTTTTTCATGTGACAAATCATTAAAAGGGGTCAGAACCCTGCAATCTTGCAAAAAATTTTATTTTGCTTCAATGGAGTTTTAGTTTTTTATTGTTGTTTTTTTTTTTTTTTTGTCTACCAATTTTCACAAAGACGCTCAATTTGAGCAAAAAACTTTCAAATGACTTCCTACAATTCTGATGACCTTGGAATATTCCTGCTAGTAATTAATGTTATTGTTCATGTTTACTTGAAAATAATCAAGTAAAAGTATATAAATTAAACGAAAAGAATCTATAATAGAAACTTGCAAACTTTTATTCTATCTTTATCTTTCGTTATAACGTATCGAATGAATTTTTTTGCTTTATTCTTTTTTTTTTTTTTTATAACATTTATCTATATATTTACAAACGACATTAAGAGGAACCCCTAGAAGATAAGAATGAGTTGATAATAACAATAGAAAGAAGGAGGGCAAAAGAAACTTTGTGAACTGAAGACTTTGCAATGTTATGATCATTTGTTTTTCAAAGTGTTTGAAGTATTCGAATGAGATCTTTTTTTTTATGTAAATATTTTTATTGGAAATATTACAATATCAAATCGATATGTGTCTATGCCAATGAAATAAATCGAATAAAACTCTTCATATAAGCATTCAAGATCAGGTTGCATTTTATGTTAAAGAAAGTTTCTTTTAAGCATGTGTTTTTGCGTCAGAGTTGAAAGACAAATTTAATCATCGAAATTTATATGGTTTAAGAAATGAATACATAAAGGCATCTTTTCGCGTGCCATATAAAGAAAAAGAATCATTTAGGGTTATTCATTATGAAATAAAGTTATTATTATAATGTTTATATTTTTAATATTCATAGAATAATTTATTTGAATATCGAAAAATAAATAGTCGATAATGAACTTCTAATGTCAATAAATTAGTAAAAGTTTGAGTATGTTAAATAAATATGTTTTCACTTGTCATTATTTACAATTTTTCTGTTTATTATTGATTATATCAGTAATTCAAGGGTTATATTTTTTTATCTACTCTAGATGATAAGTACTATTAATTTTCTTCATTTTTATCGTGACTTACTTATTTTCGACTGTTCTCGTTCTCGACAACATTTACAGTCTGAATGACAAAGTTGTTTTTAGTATCATTGAGAATAGCTATGAGCAATAGTACACAAAAACATATAATATGAAAAAAAAATGTTTACTTGATAGGATGTTTTATTTTCACACATGATTCACATTTGATAACAAGTTTCATACCAATAAGATTATCATCTGCATATTCTATACGATGAAATTCAAGTATTGAAGGGTGTAACACTTATGTGAGATGATAGGTCTTCTATACACAACTAAATATTGCTATGAAAGAAAAAAAATGCAAGGTGCTTCATATCATTCAATCATTTTTTTTTTCTTGCTACATGATTACTAAAGTAATCAAAATCATCCTGTATCAAACATATGATCTCTGATGAGTTTGATCATATAATTGACATATGACAGAGGCAAACGTAAAAAATTAAATTTTGATTGATTTTTTTTCTCTGTAACATATGATTGTTTTTTTTTACTATAGGCTTTTTTAAAGTTACAATGAAGTTTGAAACGAAAAAGATTATAGCAAAAAGAAGAAGAAAATCGTTATACGATTTTGAGAAAAAGTTAGAACATGAATAGGAACAATAACAAACAAGAAAATGAATGCCGATTAATGTTCATTGATATAAAGTTTTTTTTTTTTTTTTTATTTTTTCATTCGATCGTTGTTATTGAACTTGTTCTTTTGACTAATAAAAAAAAAAGAACAGGAAGACAATGATAAATTCTAGTATTCTCTTTTAATTAACAGCAAAGGTTAGGATTAAACAATATTTAAAATTGAACACTGGCTGGTAATTTTCGTTGAAGATCATTAACAATACGTGTTAAATTTTCAAGTAAATTAGAATATTGTTTATATAATTGTTCATCATTTGATGAATGTTTTCCAGAATTTAAAAATGGTAAATTATTCTCAATATATTTTGTTATATTATCATCAACAGTAACAAAATCATAGAGAATAAGAATAGTATTAATTAATTTTTTACATCGTTCCATTAAATCTTTTAATTTATAAGTTTTGTTCGTAGATAAATTTTGTTGATCTGAAAGAAGAAAATTTTTACTTTTAATTTAATTTGCTTTCTTTTTTGTTTTTTGCTTTTTATACCAATATGATTTGATGCTGTAAGGCTGGGTGGTGTTAATGAAATGTTACTATTTTGTTGAGATACTGTACCAAGACGCATATTGTGTACTAATTGTTCAAGTTCATTTTCAATCGATGTTAATTCAACGGTACATTCAGTTACATGATCAGTACGTAACATATTGCACAAGATATTTCTACTTCAAAATTAAAATGTAAATTAAATTGTATACTTAAAAAAAAACAAATATCATATTTTTTTGAACTTTTTGTTAATGAAAAAAACACATCTGTTATCATAGAAAATAAAACGAACAATATCCTAAACTAGACTATTTATTATCGGATAATGCCTTTTACAAATTTCCAGAACCTTGTTCTAGTTTTTGCTAATGAAGATATACGAAGCAGTCTCAACGATGCTTGTAGTTGATGCATACAACTTAGAGATGAAACGGTGATCGTACACTATCTTACATACAGCCTTTTGCATTGATGTAAACATGCACGTATATACTGAAAATGATCACTGTAAGGTGTTGGAAAAAACTTTAACAATAATTTTAGAGATAAAATATAACGGCAAGATTTCTAAGAAGCCGGATGCGGTAGTTTTTCAATCTCAAAAGACGTGACTGGATCTATTTTTTAACAGCACTATTTAAAAACAAAAAAAAAATGAAAGGTCACTGCATATTCGACGATCTTTCTGTAAAAAAAGTTAACCAATCGGATTTCGCAAGACTGCCATGCGATTTTGACAAACCGATTGACACACATTCTAAGAGCATCTTGCCTAGTATAACTGGCATGCAACTCAGTACCCTTCTATATATTCTCTAGTAGAAAACTATAAAAAGCATCTAATTTTTTTAAAACTTTAACTAGATTTATTAATACGGATATGAATCGTATTTCAATACCGGCGAATTAACAATTCATTATAGCGTTCAACATCAGTTTGATTAGAAGATTGAACAGATAATGATGTTGGTAGAATAGTTGAAGGTTTATAACAATCCTAAAAATATAAACTATATATTTAATTTACTGGAAAATAAAAATAAATCCATACATAGACATTATTCCAAAATTCTGGTTCATTCGATGCATCAATCTGTTGACGTAATGCTTCAATGAGAACATTATTATTTATTTGACCAAATCGTTCGATATATGTCAATGTTGATTTTAGATCAAAAAGAAAGAGAAAATTTTGCTGAATGTGAAGACAATCTTGTGAATTGGTTTGTTTAAGAAAGTCAAATATTGGAGAGTATTCAGTTGTTCGTTGTAAACGAACCCGTGATAATAACTTGAAGAGAGCAAATAAAATGAAAAAAGAAAGAATTTTAACTAAATATTCAAATTAATAATCTTTTTTTTTTACAGTTTCAGATAATACATCTGATTCAGATAAATGTAATAAATGTGCTAAATTGAAACATGATATATATGGTTTATTGTTATTGTAACGGATCAGATAAAAGGAATTGTTTTCATCAATTTGTATCAGTTTACATAGATGTTTAACGTTTAAAGACTTATTTGTTATTGGAACAGAATTCGTTTCTGGTAATTGAAAATTGAAATTAACTGTATTGCTTTCTGGTGTAGATGGTTCTGAATCTGGCAATGGACATTGAGCAGCATTATTCAAAAAATCCAAATTTAATTCAACAGGTTTTGGTACATTTTGCCTTATAGAAAAAAATTTTAACCTTGATCAGAAAATATCAATTAAAAGAACCTACTGTTCTTGTTCATAATCATCTGTTAATTGATGATTTTGAAGTGAAGATAGTTTAACCTAGAAAAGAATTTTAATATATTGATTAAACTAGGATTCGAGCTAAATTTTAGAGATTGATACAATGATTTGTTTAGGTAATGTGTTGAAAGCAATTCTCATATTTAAGTCTAAATTTGAGAATATGATAGAACAGTTCAAGTGTTTCGATTTGAATGTTACATATGTGGGACCAAAAATTGTTCGACTGGTTCTTTGTCCTTTTTATTCTATGTTATTTGATCTGTAAATACGAAATTAAGGAAATGTTTTCGTCAAACATTCGTGAAGCATTTAAAAACTCGTCTCAAGCCTGTTCCAGTCTCATTAAACAAGTGCTTAAAGAAGTGGCTTCTATCGCAATTTTTTCAAGCATTCAAGTTAAACGAGTTCCGTTGTGTACTGTACAGCATGGCTATTTCGAAACTTATCGAGAAATGATAATCATCGTCTTGAACATACATACATCACAATCACTACACTTCATTTTCGTGTCATCAAATAAAGAAAATAATTTTAAAATACAAAAAACTAATTACAATCACTTATTTTCACAGATTGATAATTGTTCTTCAAAAAAAGGACAGTATCGTTACAACGTAGAGAAAGCTGCTATAGTGATGATGCAATAAAATTTTTTCGCTTATTTATATTAGGTGTCTAGCACACTATATACGATTCTCAGGTAACCTTAACGATGGTCCTATAAGAATCAAGTCATAATTAGCTCTAATTTTTAGAATAGTACCCTTCAAATTTGTTTCTGTCCCAATTAACAGAAAATTTCCGAGCTCCGACTCGGTCAGATATGGAAGTCACTCAGTGGTCTCTGACTGTATGACACTATGACTTGAAGATCTTTGGTTCTCACCACTATGTTCATCTGTCTATGAGATCTTTTGATTGGTTTTTTTTGTTTTAATTTAGTAAACTCTTTACCTTACCGATATAAAGCCTGATAGAAGAGAGTATGATTTAACAGAATATAGTAGTAAGCTTCTTAGAAGAATAGTATAATGTCAAAAGATAGAATTTCAATTTTGCTCTATCATATCATCATATTTAAACTTGAAAAAAAAAGTAATGAAATTTTTTTTTCGATTATGTTTCCTAGGAATATATATTCAAGTACATTCTACATTGAATTAGAAAGTATTTAGTTTATAAAGTATGAAAATTTTCGTACTGCAAGTTTTGATTGAACAACAATATCATTTAAACATTGTTCATCTGCATCAAGAATTCTAATTGTTAAAAGTCCATTCATATATCCAGTTGGTTCAATAAAAAATGGTCCATCTTTACATAATGTATATAGTTCATTATATGTATCTGGTAATAAATTATTATCATCTGGTATAAAACTTATATCATCTAATCGACATGCTATAGCCATACATGGTAATTCAGCAAAATGTTTAAGTAAATACTTAAATTGTTGTTCATCTTTATTAACTTCTTTTATTGTACCATAATCAACAAAAACAATAACACATTTATATAAATCACTTTCTTTAATAAATGCACGATGATATATTCCATCATATGTTGTTACACATGATAGACCTGTTTCAATATTATTAATAATTAATGAATTTGATATCGAACTTGAATAATATGAACTTAAATAAAAAAAAATAAAAGTATGTTGATTTTAGTGAGAAATGAAACGAAACAGATATTTCTTTTTTTTTTTTTTCTTCTTCTTCTTCTTCGTCTTACTGAAGTTCTTCCATTAATGTTTCAATATGTTCTTGATAACGAACTGGTTGTACATGAAGACAATGTTCATTTCTATCAATATCAGATATAAAACCTTGAAAACGTCGATCATTTATATATGAAAAAAGATTTGTTGCATAACGAAATGTTTTTGATACAATGCCAGAATCTGTTATTTGTTTTAATAATTGAGATTGTGTCTTTATAAATGAATAAATTATTTAAATTTTATTATCTATTAAAAATAATTTGATTTACTTGTGCAACTTGTTTAGGATCTTTAAGTGTTATAATATGATCACATGAACCATTTTCTTCACCATGACGTGAAATTGATGCAAAATCATCAACAAAATCTTGAAGTAATAGAATATTAGCAATTTTTAATTCAGTTAAAAGACTTTTGCCAAATTTTTTCTAAACATAGAAAATATTCAAATAGAGAAAAACGAAGCAGAATAACTAACTTGATAGAGTTCATCTAAAGCCAAAAGTCGAATACCATGTGAATATTCAGTTAAAAGCTATCGAAAGAAAAAAAAAATTATAAATTTTTATTTTCCTTCATTGATTTTTTTTTTCTTACAGTTCGAAGATTATTAATAACTTCTTCTTCTTTATCATCATCTTCTTCATCATATTGTTCTTCATCTTCATTTAATACATAATCAGAAAATTGAAATTCTAAAAGACATTAAAATTATACATAAAGAATTTCGAAATAAAAATCAACCAACGAGTCTCTGATGAAATTTCATAATCACTATACATATCATTTGTAGTATTCGTACGATTATTATTTGTATTGTTAACAACAGTAATTTGCAATGATTCTGAATTATTTATTACACGACGATCATCAAGCAAATTCGAATTTGTAGATTGTCGTAATTCATAAGAAGACATACGAGGTTGACTAGAACCAGTAACATATGCTCGAATTTGCTGTTGTTGCTTAGCAAATCGAGGTGGTGCCGAAACCTACATAATAGTTATTATATATATATATTTCCAAATATTGTGTGAACCATAATTTAAAAGGAGTGTTCAGTATAGGAATAAGAATATGGATCTCTCCACACAGACCGTAACCCCATGTAAAAATTTTACATGGAAATTGCATGAAAAATCTTCCATAATCCTCTAGTATAATTATTCTTTATTGTGGAGCTACTGTCAGCTACGGTTATCGCTATTCGACAATAAATATAGTTTTTTTTATCTTTTTATAACATTTCGATAAATTCAAAAATGTGAATGCCAAGATTAAAATACCATTCACTAGCGAGATGATCTGCCAAGCCATTCCATTGGGGTAGATCTTCAATTTTTTAGATCGCACCCTTGTCTTTGTCAGGTGCTTATGTAATTGAATTACATATCTACAAATAGAAGTTTGTGGAAAATGAAATAGGAATCACGCTTCTGTCAAACATGCGACCAATTATCGTTTTCTTGACCGTGATAGATGTTACAATCAAAGGACTGGATATCAATGACAACGTGTTATAATCTATGAACTATTGTTTTATTACATTCCTGTAGAATTAACTAAGAGGAATGAGAAGCATTGCATCTAGAAACTTTTTTGTATCACTTATCAATTAAAATTTTCTATGTTTGTTAAATATAAATGATAATTCTTACATTTGGTTTGTTTCGAGAATTTTGATTCGATTGTCCGATTGTTGAACGAGCTGGTGCAGTTGATCGTTCGAAACGAGTATTATTAAAAGTCATACGAACATTGGATATACCACGAATATTGCCTCCTGATCGATTATTATTGAAATTAATAGTATTTTGTGAGAATCGAGCACCACGATTATCACGACCATTGTTTCGATTTGCATCTCCGCCTCGTGCTCGATTACGACCACCTCGACCACGTCGTCGAGTTTTGTTTGAACGTTGTCCTTTGACCATAGATAAAATATGTTTTGTATTTTCTTCTTCGACAGCTAGAATCTTTATAATATTATTTCCTTGTTGTTGAAAACGACAAACATCTGGCCATGAACGAAGTAGTGCTATCAATGATGAATAACCTAAATCTCTATATGGAAGTTCTTTATTTGAATTATATAATCGATAATCATTAAGTAATTCATATTCACTAAGTCCATTTTTAGCGGAAACAAGTAATGAAAGAATTTCTTGCTTGATTATACCAACATCTAATTCTGACATTTTAAATTTATTCTAAAATAAAAATATTTTCAAAAATCATATTGTATTAATGTCATATAAAAGTAAGATCTATGTCTTTGAAAGACAATTCATTTAAAATGAAAATTTATTCAAACACAACATTAGATAAGAAAAATTTTCTCTATTGACTTCAGTCTATTATTTGACTAACTAAATAACTTTTTTTCTTTTCTATTCTATGACATAAAATTGCTGTGGTAATTTTTGAATGTAAGTTACTTCCTTTTCTTAAACTAGCAATTTTTTTGGAAATTTTCCTTTTTCCATCAAAAAACTAATAATTGCTTAAAAATTACTTTTGCAGCTGTTATTCAATCGTCAGAAGATTTATTGTGAACAAAAAGAAGGATTTATACTAAGTTACAATTGATAGAACGCTGAATTATCAAACATACTTTAAGAATTTATGGAAACAATAGCAAAATATTTGCTTTATGTCTCTCGCATAGATTTCTCGACAGTTTTCTGAGTACTTTTTTCTTTCATTAAGTTCTCAAGAAAAACAACGATTTCTCGAATTCCATGAAGACTTTCTAAATAATGGGTTGTGGAGTCAAACTTTTTTGAATTCGAAATTCATCTATGATTCTTAGATTTTTTTTTTGTTAAGCATACATACGTCTTTTTAATGCGAACATCTCTATCATGTTTTCCTTCCTTAAAACTTATTTATGATCTATAAAGTAATATATTTCTGTTTATTACTTAACTTAGGCAAAATAAACTTATCCTTGTATACGCGTAAAATCAGTTAACTGTTTTTACTGAGATGACTTCAACTCCGATGAAAGGCTCTACTTCTAATGCTAGAAAAAAAGAACGAAAAGACATTCAGATATTCTAATAGATTCTGTCATGTTGAACATTTATAGATAATGAATGATTCATCATTCTTCTTATTATTTAAATTTGAAATTCTAGTTTACAGAACTGAAATCACTTCGCTTTGAAAAAAATCGTGAACTGATCCCATTTCTGTAAGCTGATTCCACTATTATATTCATCTGTTTCGACCTTTTTCATTTCAGAAATTATGACGATGCATAGAAATTCTTATTATTGTATTAATAAATATATTTGTGCAATCTGTTACCGTTCTTTTATGCTTGTCTTTAAAGACTTAATAAACGCTTTCTCCATATTGGATTCTTCACTCTTATCATAACCAGCACACAGTTATGCTTGTGTATATATGACAAACATATCAGATTGCTAATTCATTAGTTCTATCACTCAATATTGAATCTCATTAGCACTGCATGCATTCATAATATGACTCTTTTTTTCGTTAACATCGATTGTGATTCATGTGGGTAAGAAAAGATAAAATAATAAACCAACTTGAAAAGCACAGAAACTAATTCTCTACGTCATGGGTATCGTTGTATAAAACTTTCTTGTTGTCCATGTTCTTTTTTTTTCCATTTTAATTCTCTAAGAAATTTGTCATCCAGATTTCATTCATTGATAAGACTGTCTCTCGATGAATACGATTAAACATTTGTTAAATTCAAACATGAAAAACAAAAGAAAACAATAATTATTTTCATAAATCCTTTTTTTTTTTTTGATATTTTCTTTACTCAAATATAAACAAAAAAAAACACACAAGCTCTACATACATATGTTAGTTGTATTAATACTTTAGTAATGAACAAAACGAAAAAGAAAATGCTAGAAGGGAGAACAAAAAAAAAACATCTTATTTGTTTTCTATTTATGTACATTTTGTTTTTGTTCCCGTGTTTTTTTTTTTGTGTTTTGATTAAACAATTCTTCAAAATAGATATGATCACAGTTCGTTAAGTTTACTAAAACAAAAACAAATTATATGTGAAATAAATCACATAATATCAATTAAATCAGTTCGTTGTAGACAATATTTAATTATTGGTTGAAAATGTTCAATAATTTGCAAACAATAATTATAATTTTCAATATGTTTTTCTAATGAAATATTATTATCAGTTATATTTAATGAAATATTTCGTACTTGATTGATTAATTCACGATTATTTTCATCGAGTATTTCAGATTCAAGAATAAAAAATTCTATAACATTTTTTGTTATACGATTTAAATCTTGAAAACGTTCTTCAATATCATCATTATTAATATCATTAAAGATTTCATTTGTAATAAATTGATGATTAAAACAAATATTTAATGAAAATTGTTGATCAAATGGACGTGCTATACGATAGAGTGTTTCACGCATTTTATTATTTGATGATTTTCTTTTTGATATTGGTGTTGATGGTGATGATCGATGTGTTAAATGATTATTTACTGTTGAAGGAAATATTTTTTCCATAGAATATAATTTTTCATTTGTAGTTTTTAATTCTTGTTCAATATCTTGTATTTCATTTTGAGATGCACAATTTTGATAAGATTTAGATAATGAAACCAATTGTTCTCTATAGATATATATATATATGAAATAATTTTATTGATAAAACAAACAAATTTTTCAGATTATTTTTCTTACTTTCGAAAATTTAATAGATTTTTTCGTTGATATAAATCTTCTTGATGAGCTTGAAGATTATCTTTGCTTATATAATGATTCTAAATAATAATAAAAAGACAAAAAAAAAAATTTTTGTTTATTTATGAAATATTTTATTCATTTTTGAGAAAATGACAAATATCATTCAGGCTCGGATCTATAAAATTCTCAATCTCACAGACTCTAACCTACAGTAGCTGTTAAAAGTCTTCAATTAGGATTCAAATGAAATGTTGAATGTATTAATGATCTTTTCTAGAACTGTATCAGTAAAATACATTACTGAATCTAATTGCAATGATGTTTTATGAATTTCGTAATATATTTCTCAAAGTTGAATTCACTATTGTGCAAAAAAAAAAAACATAACAAAATGATCTTCTCAACATTGACTTCTTCTTTAAAATAATTCGAAATAGAACTAACGAGAGCAGATCCTTAACTAACTCATCGCTTTTGATCCCATACTATATCGATCATGTAGATCCTGATGAACTTTCAATATTTTGAAAATAGTTCGAGTTCTGAAGTTATTATCTGCTTTCATGCAAAAATTACTTTCCAAACCCTTCCCGGAAGTATATTATGGGATTGTTTTCAAAAATATTATGCAAATACAAGATCGTTGTAGTAATATCACAAACATCCGTACTCTCCCTCCCTTGAGAGTTAACGATGATTTTTATTCACTCTACTATAAAATTATATAAAAAACGATTCTCCATTAAAGATTTTGTTCAACAAACCTTCTTTTCATTCCAATATCCAGGTCTTTCATAATTATCATATTCTTGACCGAATGCATCGATAACATCACCTTCTGTAAATTTAATTTTACGTAAATGATCTCTGATTGCACTAAGATCATAAAGTATAATTGTAGCTTTATCATCATTACGATGAATATGTGGACATTTATTTGATTCCGATAAGCAGCATAAATCATTAAATAACGGTATATTTGATTCCGATAGAGTAACTGTTGTTTCCCGAATAAGATTCTATTGGAAAACAAAAACATACATTAGAAAATAAGAATATGATTTGTTTTTTCTTTTTTCTTACCAATTGTGTAACATATATTTCATCTTTATTCAATAATCGTGCTACTTCAAAACATGGTAAACAGGGTCTCTTTGTAAATGGATGCTTAACAAAATAATATGCATGATCGATTGAAATAATAAAATGTTTTAAATTATTTTCTTCAATATTAAACTCAATATTATTATCTCGTTGTCTTAATAATAAGTGTTCATCAATATAATTATTATTTATTGTTGATTGTATATTTGGTATTGTTTGTCTAAATAAATAAATTTAAAATTTAATAAAAGACTTTAAAAAACTATTTCGACATACAAATCCGATGAAATTGGTTGAAACTAAAAACAAACAAAAAAATATATATAATTTATTCAACAAAAATTTTCCTACGAAAATATTTTTCTTATTCTTACAGTTGAATATTTTGAATCATCAAATTCAATAGCATAACCATGTTGAACAAGTAATTCATTTATTGATTTTTGTTCAATCCATAAATAAATACAATAAAATGGATTCATATAACCTATCATTTCAACTGAAAAATCCATTCCACGAATAAAATTATTAATAAATTGAGATGCATCCTCATGCCATTGAATAGATGTTTGTGGATAATGAATATTAGCTAGACGACAATCATAAATTTCTGTTCGTAATGTTGAAAAATTTTTATGAAGAAATTTTAAATTTGTTGAATTTATATGATATTTTATATCAGAGATAATTACACCATAATCCACAAGATAGATTTTTAATATTATTATATCAGGATTAGCTATTTGATCTATTTGTATTATAGCTGAGCGATAATATGTATCATCGTCATCACAATAAATACAAGATAAATTTGGTTGTATTTGTTCAAATGGGATTACATATATTGATTCATTTGATATTTGCTTATAATGATCTCTAGATAAAAAAATAACATAAAAACATACATGGAACAATTGGCTATAGGAAGATAAAAAAAAACAAGACGTATTGATTATTGTACGAGGCATGAGTATCGAGAGATTGATAGGATTTCCAGGAAGAGAAGGATGGAGCGTTTTTTTTTTTGGAAAACAAAATATTGGAACTCTAGTGAGAAAAGACGAAATTTTTTCACGATTGGGAAGTCATTCCCTCGGTCTTCTTCTACACACTTTTGAAATTTATAGTTTAAGAAATATGACATTGAGTAATCTAATGTATTTTTCATCTCAATGAGACATTGTCCAGTAAATTTAAGTTATACAATATATAGATTTAATATTAGATATGTACAGTTTTCGAACATATCGAACCAGAGTTCACGTTCAGAGCATATCTACGTAATGTAATTCAGTATGAACTAATTTTAATGAAAAAAGAAAGTAATTATATTTGTCGAAGACTATAAATAATATGAATTCATATCATAATACATTCAACTATTTATTTGATGCTTTAAACAAATATTGATTATTTATAGATAAATAATAGGATACTCTAAAAGTTCATTCAAGACTAAGCAACTCTATTACCAGTGATAATCAAAGTATAAATTAGTCAACAATATGATTTTGTAATAAATCCTTCCCTTTTTTTTATCAATATTAAAAATAACGATGGTTCAATTCTATATTTGCTTTGTCTACATCGATCCCGAAGTAAAGTTCGTCGAGTCTATGTGTAAAATTTTTTGTTAATTGAAATCGAGTCCAAAAATTTGAACCAGAATGAGCTCTGCTATAGAGATGTCACTTTCTTCAATATTTTCTCTTTTGGCCTTTCTATAGTTAACCCGTATTAGCGTTAGCATATTTTATATTCGGAATGACTGAAATGAAAATTTAAAGAAACTTACTGTAATTCAGCCATCATAATGTCACGTTTTGGTATAAACTGTATATTTCCAATGTGAATATTCCATGGATTTTCTACAGTACCTAAAAATCCATCGAATGGTTCATTTGTCTCATATTTCAATTGTTTATATTGAAAATCGAATGAAACAAATGATGACAAATCGACTAATGGTCGATCTATTTCATTTCTTATGTGTCTAAATGAATTTTGATTTGTACTGATTGTATTCGAATCATCATTGATAGTAGACAAGATAGTAGGCGTCTTGATTTGATCAACTAATAATAGAAAATTAAATTTTAAAAGAAAAAAAAAGAATAGTACAAATGAAAACAAAAGCATATATTACATGTTTGTTGTTCTCGTTTAGTTGCCTCAATAAATTTTTTTTTAAGTGAGAAAAGTCGATCAGTTGAATCAGGTAGTCGATCACGGCGTGAGTCAATAAAATCAGATACACAATCAAAAAACACCATTAAATTTTTTAATTTGAATTCCTCAAGATTTAAGCTATCATTGAATAATTTCTGAAAAGAAAAATTGCACAATTATTATTCTTTTTTTTTTACTTCTATATAAATTCAGATGAGAAGAAAAACAAAATAACCTGATAGAGTTTATGAACACTTGAAAGCCATACACCCGATGGATATTTAAGTAATAACTAAAACAAAAAAAAAATTTTTTTTTCTTCGAAAAAAGAAAACAAAAATTGAATTCAATTAAAATTTACTTTTCGTATACGTTTTCGAAGAAAAACTATTTTTTCTCCATGCTCTTCGGCTTGTTGTGCATCACCAGCAGCTAATTCGTCATCTTCCGAATAGTTCATATCATCATCTATAGTCGATAGATTATCATCTATTGTTGGTGTTGCTCGAATAGATTCTGTCACTAAAGGTAATAGTGACGTTGGTGATGTTGTTGGACTAGGTTTTGGTGGAAATGATGCAACTATTTTAGTTGTTGTCATTTTTGTGAATGATTCACTAGTTCCTAAAAAGATAATCACAAATGAAAACAGTTCGTGAATTTCTATTAATTATTACCATTTGGAAAATTTTGATTTTGAACAAAATTATTTATCACAGAAGATGAAGAGTAAGAGATTTTAGTGCTATGTTGAGATACGGATTGATTTTGATTGCTATATGCATCCCAGCTAGTTTTCTGGGCAGTTTGTATTTGATTGTATGGTTGAAATGGAATGCCATTACTTTGTCCCTAGAATTTATTTAAGATTATTTTTCATACAAAAATCTGTTGACAGTGTTGATAATCATATAGGATTGCTTTGTCTTTCAGAAACACAATAAAGAAATAGTTTAAACATTAGTACGTGACGTTATTGATATATGATCTTGGATAGTATATCAATAACATCTGTTGCGGTCTATGGGGAGAACCAACGTTTCATTCATATCCTTCAACAGTCGTCTTAGATCACCTCTTACAAAATTAGATAAATAAGAAACTCAAAGCTTTACTAAATGACTTATAGAAGATAAATTGTGTTTTGTTGAAGTTTCTCGAAAACGAGCCATCAGCAAAATTTGCAATTTTCAAGGCAAGTAGATCTTAACGAGTAAATAAAAGGTTGTGATAGATTTCAAGTTTCTGAATGTTATCTTTTATAAAATACTGGAATCATAATAGTTCCTGTTTCTTTGAAATTTAATGTTCGATTAAGCCGGAAAGCATGTTTTTTTTTCCTTGAAAAGACAATTTTGAATCCTAAAATGTGCTCAGTAGATAGACATTAATTTACAATATACAAAGTCTACAAAAAAAATATTCAGAGTGAATGTCCCTTCAATACTCTTTTTTTCGAATAGTCCTATCTAAGGTTTTCCTACATGAATTCATGTTTCTCGCGTTTTTCTATCATATAGAAAAAAAAATCTTCTCAATCCTATGATAAGTGAATACTACTAAGATTTCATCCTTTTAATGTATTTCAGTCTTGATTTGACTTTTTTTAAAATTTCTATAAATATTGCTTATAAAATCATTATTCGAATAATTTTAAAATGTAACTTAACTAGCTGTATCCAAATATTTCAAAAGCAACACAAACATGTGCTTATTGATTTTCAAGGACATTTATCGTTAGTTGTTTATTTTTTTATGTCAACAGTCTGTCCTATTTATCACAATCGTTATGAAATTACTTTCATCATAAATTTATTTAAAACAAGAACATTATCTTATCTTTTCATTCAACAGTAGATCATTATGTCTACATAGAAACATATTAATATGCATCTCATTTGTCAAACACTTCTGATTAATAAATACCCAAAATCGAACTTTCATTTACAATCATACATAACGATGATCAGACACGTTTTACTCGCAAAACCAAGGATAGTTCGACTGAAGAAGAGGGTATGTCTAACTTCTTCATCTCTTCAATAAAGAAAAATTTTTGTTTTCTACGAATAGAACCAAAAACTTTATTGTGCGATCTCTAAGAAGAAAATCACGACTCCTCTCTCATCAATATATGTCAGTTCTATGCAGAAGAATAATCTTGGAATAACTTAATATATATATGTTATAGGCAAAATTTTGCCTAGGCAAAATTGAAATTTTAATTTTGCCCAGTCAAAATTAAAATTTCAATTTTGACTAGACATTGCTTGGGCAGAATTGAAATTTCAATTTTTCATAGGCAAAATTAAAATACAGTTAGGAATAAATTCATACAATCACGTTCTTTATCAAAAATAAAATAGATTAATATGGGTGAATAGATTAAAAGATTTTGTCGAAATGTATTCTCTTGGAATTGTTTAGTTAAATGAAGAAATATTTTTCAATAATAAAGTTTTTCTATTCAGATTTTAATTTTTTCATTGTGCGAATTTATTTCTAGCTGTATTTTAATTTTGCCTAGGCAAAATTGAAGTTTCAATTCTGCCCAAGCAATGTCTAGTCAAAATTGAAATTTTAATTTTGACTGGGCGAAATTGAAATTTTCAATTTTGCCTACAACATATATATAT